TGCAAGAAATGGCGGCTGATCAATATCGATGACGTTCGTGCGGTCGGCTTCTTTCCAGGTTGTCTGCCTGAGCAATGAGAGTGTCGGCAACTCAGAATGGTTGCGATAGACTAGAACCAGGTCCTTCCTTCATCCACTCTTTCCTCACTTTAGGGCTTTAAATACAACTAGATAAACGTCTTGTCGCATCAGCGTCAACAGTGGTGTCGCTATCTCCGGTGATGATGATCGAGAAAGTGGAACCCTCGTCCTAGAACCTATACCAGTGTAACGGTGGTACTACTGATGGGGAGTCAGGCGAGTAGTATGGTTTTTCTTGTAACATTCGCTTTGTGTCTCTTGAAAAAGGAAATCTGTTGCGGAATTTGTGAAGTCGCTTGGTAGCATTTGCTTGGATCTGAGCAACAGTCAATGAATATCCAGAAAAGTTCAAGAAGACGCATTTAAGAGAAGATGAATGTTCAGTTTTTTGTAAATAAGATGCAAATGAGAGTTTTGCTTCACTGTCCAATAGTCTGTAACTGGTTAGTTGGCATTTTGTAATGAACAACTCCGCAGCGAAGGTCTTCTTCGTTTCACCAGTATATCACGGCAAAACACATCCTTAAAGTTCGAACACCCCCCCCCCCAGTCCAAATGTGGAGTGATTGTAATGAGGGGTGGAGCGGACTTATTGGGGGAAAATGAGACGGTTTTGTAAAGAATTAGAGGCTCTTAAGTCGCTGCGTTGAGGTCCTGGGAAACATACTTTATACAGTTGGGCCGGTTGCGAAATCATCAACTTCTCAAATTGAAATGACTAAGTTGGTGATAAGAAATTAGGAGGTGGTCCTAGATGAACGAAACAGTAAATTTTCAACAAACAAAACGCGTCATGTTGGATTAGATGCGACAAATTAACGATATCAGTGGTACGTGTGACGAGGCCAGTCAACTGTCGATGTTTGACGGGGGCGAGATGGCTCAGTTGTTAGAGCGCGATTTACTGACCATTAGGAGGTGGTCCTAGATGAACGAAACAGTAAATTTTCAACAAACAAAACGCGTCATGTTGGATTAGATGCGACAAATTAACGATATCAGTGGTACGTGTGACGAGGCCAGTCAACTGTCGATGTTTGACGGGGGCGAGATGGCTCAGTTGTTAGAGCGCGAATTTACTGACCGGAAGGTCCCTGGTTCGAACCCGACCTCTGCCTCTCGGCTTCCCCTGTCTAGGCCGGAGCAACCTGACAGTATCCCAGCCCTCGTGCTTCTTTCTGGTGGCATGGCAGTTGGGCACCATAAGAATGCTACACCTGAACAATGCCTAACGACCGAAACGACTGATCACTGCATGAGGAACTTTGAGCTCACTTACCGGTATGAGCATGGGTGAACGCTGTGGGGTAGCCTAACACGCTCCATGTGATAAGGCACTGCACTTGCGTCGGTTGTGCACAGCCCTAGCTGGCTGAACACAGTGAACTGCGTATTTGCCTGCACTCTGACCAGCCATTCATCAGCTCTGCAAAGTGGAAATAAACTGCGTAGTCTGTGCTGTCCGAGTACGAAACCGCGGTCATTTGCCCCAATACCTACTGTTTCGACAGAAAAACGGTTTTTGTAAGTTGCGCCTCGTCCGAAACAGGAGACTATCTTAGATTTTGGAACAATCATATCTATACGCCTGTGTTCATATCCGCTCCTTGGTCACTCCGAGTAGACCAACCTGTAGAGCTCTAATGAATTGCATTAGCAGAGAGGCGAAACAAATTAATCATCATCATTGTCAGCTGTGATAGCCGCGTACTAGTCGTACAGCGATTGTAGCTGCCACAGTTTCGTTCATCGAAACTGCGCACTGAAGGCGGGAGCTGATAAATTGGTGCATTAATCCAGCACTGTCAGTGGGCTGCCAGTTGGGGGGATTGGGAAGAGAGCTATGCATTGAAGGCAATAGCTTGGATGCATGAGCGCCATTGAGGGCGCGACTGGGCCTTGTCTGACAATGTCTCTAACCATTGACATGGCCCGTCTCGAGATCCTCATCCAGAAAGACGGCAATGACCAGCGCAGCTGAGTTTGCTGGTAATGGCTTTTATGCTTTGCTGCCAAGTCATTGTTTGACCGGCTCTGGCTCCCTTCCACTCTTCACGTGGTTGTGCGAAGAAAGCCCCAGAGGATCTGAATGCTAGCCTCCAGGCGCATCTGGCGACAGACGAGATGAGACGTCAGCTGTCGTCCTGGAAAGCGTGTGAGAAGGGTCACACTTCAGAGTACGAGGAGTCCTTTCACATGTGTTCGAGAGAAGCTTCCGACTGGACCTGCACTTCATTGGTTCACGTGATCTAAGTTGTTGCATCAGAAATGCGAATTTACATTTTCAGCTCTTGCCCTGGATCATTAATCGCGCTCGGGATAAATCCAATGTTCAGCTGACAGCAGCAAAAAACGACAGTTATAATGATCCCAACATTCGCTGAACACGACCAAACGAAAACCGAAGCATTGGATTCGAATTAATGGGGATTTAAGTGAGCTGCATTCTCAAAATCCACCAAGTCTGGAAGATCTCCCTTGTCACCTCTGAATGCTGATTTCGCTCAAAGGACACCAAGGTTTCAAACTTTTAACACAATCGAAAACACTGAAAGTTCAGCTATCCGTTCTTGAACTCATCGCTCTCGGCAAACCTAACACATCCATAAGTTGGAACAGAAAACAAAAAATCCAGATGAGGATTCTAACTCATTACTCTGATATTCCCTTGTATGAAGTCCTACGAGTGTAATGGATATGGTCCACCGCTGCCCGTAGGTTGGATTTCGTCTGAATGGGTCAGATGATCAAACTACACTTGGGAAGCGTCAGTGACCTGATGAACGCATAGTGCGAAATAACGAAGCAAAAGACAGAATACATTCCTGACAGGCCTTACTGGTTGTTGGAATCGTTTTGAACACTTCACTTTCACAAGAAATACCGGAACAGAGAGAAAAAGGTGTGCTTGAAAAATTCAAAGCCATTCTCTTTGATAATCTAACAACAAAGTGGAAACCTAGTTTTCAAGTCGAGGAAACTGGTGATTGTTGGTAGACTGTGTTCGTGACAGTACTCAAGTACTTGACCTTGATAGCAGCCCAACTAGCTACTATCAAACTTACGTTCTTTAATGGAAGACCACGTCAAAGAAAAAAATCTGGTTGCACAGGGGTGAAGAGCAGGCTCAATAACGACGACGTTGAGGTCAAATTGAAACGCGTCGTTACGCAAATCTACCCACACGGGGGGCAGTCGATCAGAAGAGATGACAGGTTTTTACCTACCCAGATGTACCTGATTATGAGTACCGAGAAACACTCGTGAAGAAAAGATGGTCGGTGGTGCTCAAGGAATTCAGTGGACTAGAAATACAGTTACTCGGAACTCTGGTGAAGAAAATTTTATACAAACGCAGTGAAGTTCTGGATTTCGAAACTGGAAGATATGGAGTTGAAGAAGAAACTTCACGGAAACTGACAGACACAAAAGCGCAAGAGTAAAAAAAACATACCAGTGCGAAGTAGTTGACTTCTCGAAGCCACTGATCAATCTCTACGGTAGTGGTCATTGGGTCATCTTCAAGGACGAAGGAAGATGTATCTCCTCCGTTCACCGGAACTCGATCTCCGTTCACGGGGTTGGAGACTGGTGGAGGGCAATGAGTTTGAAAATCACGCACATGCTGAAGATAACATCTCATCCAGTCTCGTTGGAACGGGAGGGATGGGTAGTTAGTGTAGTCTGGATGATCGACACCTGGAAGAAACAAAGATAGCCAAAATAGTACAGCACGAGCGACGTGGATCAACCGCAAATCAGAGTGTAGAATCGGGTCGGGCGAGTTCATAGGCCAGATTACCCACACCGGATAACTGGTCGATGACGAAACGTATATAAAGTAACAGGCGCATTAATCATGGAGAAAACAATTCCCCTATCTAGGCTTGGGCAACTTAACAGTATCCCAGCCCTCGTGCCTCCTTCATGTGGCATGGCAGCGAGGCACCGAAAGGGTGCTACAGCTGAATGATTTGTTTCTTATTTATAACCAAACAACAGACAAATTTCAGGTTGAAGAGGTCCCACGCAGTTCACTGAAAGGATGCAACATTAATTGCCTCCTGATTAAAGCTAGTGAGTCACTGATTTCCCATATGTATGGAATTCATTGGGATACACTTAAAACCCAAAGGTTGGACGTCAAACAGACACCAACACATTGTAATGGGCAGTCCTTTGGTACATTTAAGATCCACATTCAGTTTCATCCTGTCAGTGCCAGGTCGATCATGAATCACGAGAGCTAGTGAGCACAAAAATGCTGAAACCGGTTATTCGCTGTGAGGAGGTTCTGATGCCCCTGTTGTTAGGCCTCACTCGCTCTCCACGTTGAACATACCACTTTGGCTAAGCTATCGGAAATGCAGTCACGAAGGGTATTTCCGAGGAGTTTCCTCCTTGAGAAGGGGGAAGGAACCCGTAAGACAATGCTCACATGGTTCACTCAAAAGTATAACTACCACAAGAATGATCAGATGAGGATAACTCATTCTTCTGTATGCTGCGTTATTCTTGTCCCATCAGCACATCAACAATTCCTAGACCCGCAAAACACTCGTTTACACACCAGTTTGCTTTTAAGGAGAGACTCAACTAAATTCCAGCTGAATCCTCTCCAAATGAGTGTGCCGTATATAGGCCACCTCATGTTTTGGTTGGTACTATATTGGAGATATCGCAGTAAATTTTCTCGAAGGAACACTACTCAAAAGGATGCTGAAAACGCTTCAACAGCCCACGATCGGTTTCGCCCTTGTTAGACAGTTTTATTTCAGGAACGAAGTCCTAGATAAGCTTAGTTGCAACTCTTTTGGACGTCATACAGGCTTAACCAATCAGATCAACTCAATTTTCTGTACCACGTAAAGCGAGGTGAAATCAGTTAGCAAAAGTGGAAAGAGGTTGAATAGAGCAGGAGATGAGAATACTTCTAATCAAGGCATAAATATTCCGTGTATCTCGGTAGTTTTGCTCAGTTCCACCACTTCCATGCACGCATCTCTCGGTTCGACGAGGAAACGATCCTAAAGTGGATTCCTTTCTGTGCGGCCACTCGACTTCACGACTCGCATTGTATATAGGTAGGATTAGGTATCACCACTGACCAACACCAGAGGAAAAAACTAGAGTTTCATTATTGCGCAACCATGCCAAAATTAAGGGGAGCAGAGTTAGCCTGCCACGAAAATCCGAGATACCTACAAATTCAACACTTAGTCAGTCACTCAGTCAGTCTAGATAGAAATTAAACCCCATTCACATCGGCTAGCCAAGTCGTTTTTTCTATAGCAGAATCAAGTCAAGTCACTTTCGTAATGCACTACTCATAAGCTTGCTGAAAACCACTCGACAGCCCACGACCGGTTTCGCCTATGTTGGGGCTCATCAGGTAGGTGCAGTCCCCGAGTTTCCGTCAACCTTATGTTCCACTTGTTACCGGAGAATAGCAAGATAATTAAAGTCTATGGTATCTGGACGTGGATGAATCTTTCCGAGGCTGAAGCACTCGCATAGTTGCTCAGTAATGCTCCATAAACAATGAGAGTGGTACTCCATCAAACTAGGACTCCAGAACAAATGCCGTTCACTTTTGGAAAACAAATCCGTCACATGGGTGGATAAAAAAACCGTTCAGCTCTAACACCCTTCTGGTGCCTAGCTGCCATGCCACCCGAAGGAAGCACGAGGGCCGGGATACTGTCAGGTCGCCCAAGCCTAGACAGGGAAAGTCGAGAGGCAGAGGTCGGGTTCGAACCACGGACTTTCCGATCAGTAAATTCGCGTTCTAACCACTTGAGCCATCTGACCCCCACACCAGCGTCGCATACCGCCCTAGATCAAACGGTTTGTACCGTTCCGTTGAGGAAGGGATCATCATGATCGTGAAAAAATTCAAACCACCGTGAGAAGACATCCGGCCACTGGAGACGCGGACGTCGAAATTAACTGTACCGGTGAGAAAAGTAATCAATCTACAAGCAGTACGTTTATTCTGGCAAGAGATTGATCGTGAATTTTAGCAAATTATCTTAATGGGTATGGGCTAAGAAGGTCCCCAGGAATTCCAGCCTCTCCCTGCCAGGCAGACGATGCCTAGAAGAATGCGGTTTTCTGAAATGAAAAGAAGGAACACCATAGCAGTCTGTCAAAAGATCCCTTCCAGAGAAGTGCAAAAATAGATACAGCAGTACTTCCAGACGTCTAGTCTCACCGGGTCGATCTTTTCTGATCACAGAAGCACACAGAAGCGCATGGTTTCTCCAAGACAGACAGCTTCAAATCTGAAATTAATTAGGGGAAATTCCTAGAGGAAACATACCAAGACATACAGCGTCATCTTGATGTATTTTTTTACCCATGCAAGTTATCGTAATCAGCGTGTCTCTGTTCCAAAGAATCTCAACTCGTCTTCGCCAGTTAATCAACGCAAGGGGAACTCAGCTGTAACACCCCTACACGAGGGAAGTTCGAGGGCACAGATACTGCCAGGTTGCCAATCCTAGACAGGAGCAGCCGAGACGCAGAAATTGGATTCGAATCACAGGCTTTCCGGTCAGTAAGTTCACGCTTTAATCACCTCTGATCAAATAGTAGACTGCTCTAGCCCTATAACTACTGGGATTTACTTCCATGTCATGTGAAACAGTCTGACCACCTTCATTGGCTTTTAGTTCCCACAACAGACAAACAGTCCCGATAGTTTTATTGTGGTATGAATATACAGCTTTCCCTTCCGTAGAGATCATCTGAGGAAACCGGTAGAAGGTGGGGTCTCCTCCGGACCTGGAGGAGCTCAATCACGAGTAGACCGTTCTAACAACTATCTCCTCTAGGGTGAATAACCGTAGAAACAGTATGGAACATGCGTTTACCCCACAAGCGGAAAAACAAGACTCAAGGCGAAAGATACCACATACCTGCGTATTCGCAAAAATGGTTGCCGATATCAGCAGCTGCACGGGCGAACCCACTGTACTCCAAGTCAATGAAGTGAACTGACTCTGAATAGACGAGAAAAACAATGTCAAGAAAAGTGAGTCACTCAGCGCGCGTTTGAGCAGATTAACAAGACAGATTCACCAGGCGTGCACAAGGCCACCAAGTGCTAGTAAAGCCTTCTAGTTTGCTTTGATTTTCAAGTTGGTCTAACGAGCCGTCATGAGTGCACCTTTGGAAAGACGGAAAGATGTATGCGGGGAAATGACACCGGGGGGTTTCGTGTAGTAAAAAAAAGACTAAAAATGTAAGTAGTATGTGTGATGATTGCCTGGGAAGTTAACAGTTCAACCATTATTTGTGACTGCGCTGGTGCTCAAAGAACCACATGTCATATGAAACATGGCAAGCGTCTGATATTCTCCACGAAACTTCGAAAACAAGCCTGTCTAAACAGTTGGTTATTGTACCCTCTTAATGAGAAGAGTGATACTCACACCAAAAGGTGAAACGCCCATACTAAACTTGGGGACAGCGTTGAGAGGATCGACTGAACCATTCGTGCCACTTGCAAAAGGTATTCAAAGCATCAAACTCTAGTTAGTGTTCATAGTCACAGCGACGTTTCAAACAAACTGAGATTCTCAGCGGTTCCTAGATAAAGGCTATGATTACTGGTAGGTATGAAACTCGCTCTAGTAGCTGTCACGAGTGAACATTAAGCAAGCCACGAAATTAAGACCACATCCGAACCCGGTTTTGAGAAGACCATGTTATAGTGCTGAAAATCTCCATACAGTCACTGTTTTTCTTTACAATTTCGATTTCTCCTCACTGTGAACCTGAAAACAGGTTAGGACTGAGTACAGATGGGATGCCGCTTTAAGAGGATTTGCCACCAGAGCTGGACAGTTCGGATTAAACTCTCCCTCAATCTTTCAAATTTCACTCCACTCGCTTCCTTTTTGGGTCTGGCTCGGAGAGCATTCATTCGTCATTTTTATGCACTGTAATTTAGTTGTTGCACCCCCCTCGAAGGGAGAATGCAGCCACCATAAACCCTTCAAAATGGATGCAGCAGTGGTCCAATTGGATACCAGAATTGGTAGTTTCATTTTCGCGGCTTCAGGCCCTACCTGTAAATTCCTCAGGATATTACGTGCAGCCGTTCTTGTATGCTTCTTTAATTTCTGAAGGTCTATCCGTTCCGACAATCATGCCAACAAGAAGTATCATAAATCTTTCAGGATTCGCTGACAGCGTCCACTAAGGCTTCACAAAGACTAGTGTCTTCCGGCCTAAAGAGGTAGTCCTGGTTCGGAAAAACATCTTCCCTAGCTTCCATAAAGGAAACTACTCACAAGGTTCTGAAAACTCCTTCGACAACCCACGACCGGTTTCGCCCTTCCAGTTCGGGCTCATCAGGTAGGCGCAGTCCCCGAGTTTCCGTCAACGTTATGTTCTACTCGAACCCGAATTTGGACTGTTTTTCTTCCCTAGCTCTTTCGATTAGCGTGATCACCTGTTCGGAACTTTTGGAGGGGATATTCTTAGAAGGGGGACTGCTAGATGCAGCGATAACCACGGGAATGAAATTGCACACTAATCAGTCGACATATCTGTAAGATTAAGACCATTCTGTATTTGAAGCCATGAGAGCTAGCCAAAATAGTGGAGAAAAGCAAGTGTGTCGCATAATATTCATCCAACTAATCAAACTATTTTAAGTAATCTGCAACGGAAATAAAAGGGGAAGGTCATCATCTCAGGAAAGATAATTTTAATTATCCTTTTCCGCAGGGTATCCTCTCTTCAGGAAAGGACTATATGTCTAGAGTCAACGTTGACGTGAATCTGTCCAACAACCGTTGGGGGAGAATCCCCTCTGTTAATTAGACATCCAACGAGGTGATTAATGCAACCAATAAGGCTGTCGCGAAATAAAATTGAACCGGCCATTGTTGCAGCGACCGGGATGGCTCTTGGAGAGCGTCAGACTACTGTGATAGCGTCAGGTACGCGATAGGAGCCAGTTTTATTTGTCCTCTGGCAACCGAGTAGACAAGGTGCTGTAGGTGTAACGCGGTTTACAATCGTCATGAGACCATTTGGTGATTCTCTAAAATTGTCCACGGATCGCGGCAGGTAACGGAAAAGCATATTCGGGAACTTATGACGAAGCAAAGATATACGAAACGCACTTTCAAAGACGACTTTTTTGTGTATGAAGTTGTCCGCGAACTCGTGGACGCGATACGGAAAAAGCCCAACAATTTAGCACCTAGAAGAATCTTCTGTAAGGTCATGCGACTGCAAAAGACGTCTGACACTATGTCCATTGACAAGGCCAGCTTATATCTGCACAACCGGGTTTCGAGAACCGGATGCAAGCCACTTCGTTAGATATGAGCTTCAAACCGTTCAGCCGTAGAATCCTTTCGGTGCCTAATTGCCATTCAGTAATCCACCATCCAGTACCCATAGCACGTGAAGCATCGTTAAGCCCACCCACTTTTCTCCTCTTCTCTTTGACTTCAAAACTTTTTGAGTGCAAATGATGAGGTTGCAATGCAAAGTCTGCTGGGGTCCATATGAGCTGAAATTTTCATAGCAAGCCTTGAATAAAGTTGCAACTGTGATCCGCTCACTGGCCGTTTATGAATGCTACGCTGACGACATTCTGGTCATCATGAACGTATGAGAGGATGCACACAGCACTCTCGAGCTACACATCAAGGTCGCTTTCGAAAAACGAAGTAAATGGAAGTAGTCTGTTCCTCGAGATTCTGATGCAATCAAGGACTGATGGAACCACTCAAAGATCATCAGTTTGCAGGAGCATCAGAAGACGGTGGCTGTATTTCACGAGCTTCATGCCGATGCGATATAAGCGGGGTTTAGTAAAAACGCAGCACCACCGAACTCGAAAAACGTGCACTAATAACACACTTTCGGTGGGCTCAATAGCCTTGGAGCCTATTGCCTACCCTAAGATACTCATTGAGCAACAGTGTGCAGATACCCAAACTGGGATCCGTGAGCATTTCATTCTCAGTAACCTGTTATTCAAAGTAGGTGAAGACAGATATTTGGAAGATCACGCTGATGGTAGGTCACCTGAATTCGTCCAATCTGCCTGCCATAGTTCACTGGCAAGTGCAGTGACGGAGTGGATCAAGGTTCATCAGAAACGATAGCAGAGCACCTTCCAAAAAAGTTTTCTTTTCATGCGGCAGCAGACCAAAAAGACTCCAGATTACCTGAGTAGCCCACTCAATTCATCAGTGATCTTGTCAAATAATTAAAGCTCTAGACTTCCAACATACCATACTGATCAACATTAGATTGTCGAATTTCGGCGCACGAAAATCATTGATCAGAAACCTGCAGGTGCCCTAAAGCTGATCTGAACTGTTATCCAACGCGCTGTCTATCACTGTAAATATTGTATGACTTGCGTCAGCGACTGCAAACAAACAGAATGTCGATGCCATGTGACTTGTAGCTTTTTCCCGTGCCAATGAACTGGTTAGTCTTCATCCAACTGAGCAGATTCCAATGCTCCATGCCATGACAACCGGGCCTATAAACAGTGGCAAAACAGACGTGGTGGCCTTATCTCGTTGATTTAGTGTGTCTCAGGTTAACACGCACAGATGGGTGTAGATGAAACACCTTAACCCATCGCACCCGACCGATTGAACGTTTGGATTAGAAGATGTAACCATCCTTCATACTAAGTGAAAGGGTACTCATCTCTTGATGAATTTCGGAAGCATGCTACAGTACACACTCTTAAGTTTGTTGAAATAACCTCTTCCAGAAGTTCAGTTGCTTACTGGGGAACGAGGCAAAACTGCATGCAGGGTCATGAAACATTTGTGCCGGAACGGATCATCCGAATATATACATTTGATTTCCAAGGTAACGTGCATTTTGATAAAGTGTACTTTTACACTTAGGAGTCGCGTGACATGGCGTCATGCATTGGTCGCGTGTGGCCATCATCCTATTTGGGCGTCGAACCCATCCAAGAGCACTTGTATACCATCGGTTTAGCAGACTGGCGGTGGTGTTGCGGCGAAAAAACGTTGTGTTACGGATGATCAGGGAAAGCTGGCATGAAAAGCTTGTGATACATACCGGTCCTTTTGGGAGATATTCGCTGACAACTGAATTCAGCTGACTTAATTTTACCTGCGCACAAAATGCCAACTACGTTTATTAGTATTAGTATCTTGTCCATTGGGAAACGATGGCGCTGTGACACAAACCTCGTGACAGGATTTGTTTTCGGACAGCCATCTTCTATCACGTGGGACTGGTTGAATTCCTTCCCACTCACGCAAACAGACACTTTGGATCAGCGGATTTGGGTTGAATTACCCCTCATTGATGGAAAACTCGGGAAAACCCAGGCATTTAGGAGATTAAAGCCCACTGCGCGTAGGTCAATGAGATCAAGAAACAACAGAGGCTAGGGGATCGTGATGACTGCATGCGTTTTGGATTGGATGGCAGTCAAGCCACAGCATAGGCAGATGACAAAAAAAAACGGAATACACAACGAATTCATTGATTAAATCATTTACAAACTGCTTGAGACATCGTAGTGGAGACCAGCTCTCATCGAATCAGACTGTTACCGGTCATTAAACCGCGGGGAAGGAGGATACGAGTGGCACAGCTGAAGGACAGCTATAAATAACCAATCAAACGGGACCATATGGAAGGAACCGATGGATGAAGTATACCTCAACGAAAAAAACTGGGACTGTCGCACACTGGTTGACAATGAACTGGCGTACGCGATGCGGAAGCACCACCGGCTGATCAAATGCCTCAGCAATGACAATGCGCTGAACAGCAAACAGTGTCTCGGTGTGTTTGGCCATTCTCATGCTCACAGTGCAAATTGCGGAATGTGACAACCTCAAAGTGACAAACTTTCTTCACTGGGTGGGCGTGCTTGGCTTACGGATGCAAGTCTGAAAAAGCGTTGAAACATCAGATGATGGTTCTGTTAGAAGGAAGTGAACGAACCCGATCGGAAGGAAGTACAGTTAATTCGTGCGGTCGTT